CCCCAAAACCCCAAAACCCCAAAACCCCAAAACCCCAAAACCCCAAAACCCCGTTTTATTTAAGATGTGTTGAATCTAAACAATTCGCAGAAGGATAGATAGATAAACATAACTAAGCATATTGCAAAAATGGAAAAATCTCAGTTGCGTCTTTTACTGAGTTATGGATGTATGCATACGATCTGCACCTACCTCAGTATTGAAGCGATAGCAAAGGTGCTCCGACTAATATGCAAGCCAGTCAGCTCTAGATGGAGTGGCCAAGTATGGAAGACATTACTAAATGCACTAGAGCAAAGATCACTGAAAAGTATTGCGATCCATGGCTTTGGGGACAATAAGAAAGCCTGGCTTATGGCAGACCATAAGTACCGCTTCTACAGCCTGTCACTTTATCTATATGAACAACAAGATGCTGAGAACCTGCTGCTTTTTCTTGAAGGTTTACCTAGAGAGAAGATTCACATTATTGCAGTTCATTGGAAAGGTAGCAAAAAGCATCAAGGTGCTATTGTTAGATATCTCAGCAAGGTCCATGAAGCCATTTGTGCTGGAAGTAAGCTAAAGAGGTTGATATTGACATATCCTAGTAGCGAAAGCTTGGATATCATTCCAATATTACCTTATCCTGATCTGTCCCAATTCTCATCAGAGCTAGGTCCTTTAAGTAAAAAATTTATTGAATCATGAACTTCGATCGAGCAACTGTGCTATCTTTTGCCTTCGGTAATGTTCGTTCAAGAGAGTTGTAAATAGAAGGAGGCTGCAAATCCTGCAGGAAGAAAGAAGTCCTGATGCTGACTACCCCAAGGAGTTCCAGAGCCATTGATCACCAGTACTTGACCAAGAAGCTAAGCTTATTGAGCGGATTGAGGAAGATATGATGAAATGACAGGTTCATACCTTGGCTAAATTTAGCCTTAGGAAGTTCCATCGAGTGATGAAGAAGATTAATTGAGGATTCGGGATAATTTCACTTGAATCCTGACCAATCATGACTTCTTCGGACCAAGCTGTGCTATCCTACCCATCTGCAGTAATCTTATCCCCTTTTGGCGTATACACTGTGGAGAATCTCTCTTTGATTTTTGTCAAAGAAAGCTACATCCCTCTACACTTTTGTGAAGTAATCAAAACCCGCTATGGAGAATACCCACAAGAAGTTTGAGTAGAAGAACTCCTTCATATATCGTTCAATCTGAAGTGAAAAGGCGAGCCTCACTGATGTTTCCTGAATAATAGTCATAAGGGTTGATTCTTGGTCTGCGCAAAGGAACCGATTCAGATATGGTCAGGAGGAGATTCAGCTTTTGACTTTGCCCAAAGCCTTAGTCCATCCAATATCGGCTCCTTCAGATATACTTTAGAAGATAGGCAATTTGATAGGTATAAAATCAATGAGTTGAAAAAGAAGATCGAAAGAATTTACAATACTAGTATAGAGATTGCTGATCATAAAGAGAAAATTCATTTTTGTGAGTACCTCTCCCTACTTAGCTTACCTTTCAGAGATATTAGCTTATATTTTAGCACAGATGATCTTGTGTCAATGAGTACAGAGGTCAATCTCCTCATTGATGCTGTATATTCAAACAAAGTACTGCAGACTCTCACTCTGAAGAGAAAGTATGAAGGTTTTGAAGTAACATACAGTCTGAAAAAATCTCAAAAAGAGAGGTTTGAGCATGTTGCTCACTCGTTCTTCAAGTTCACTGAAGTCCTTGACTCCAGAAGGAGGTTGATCGATATTCTCTAATAATTTCAATAATTGCCATTTTGAAAGGGGTTTTGGGGTTTTGGGGTTTTGGGGTTTTGGGGTTTTGGGG